CAAAAAGAATAAAAACTTACTGAGTTTCGGACATTTCAGATCACGTACATGTATTGTAAAGGTACAAAAACTGTTATCATGGTTTGGAATGGATTCAAAGACTAATGCCTGCAACCTTGCAACAGGAAATTGTTTTTAGACCTCAAAACAGTCCTTTTTCAAATTTAAACATGATGAAGGATCATTCTTGAACGAGACTCAAATCTTGAGTCTTTTGATCACCAAAAACAATTTTTAATGATTGTTACCTGCACTGTAGCTGAACTTGAAACATATCTTGCCAAAGTTAGTATTTTTGCAAAATGCATCTCTATATCTTAAAATATGCATAAAGCAGTTACTTGAAAGTCATTCAATTTTTCTTGGCATTTTCGTCACTCTTTAGAAAAAAGATAAATTTGTTTCTTTGCTAATTTAAATTCACTTGTAAACACAGTTCATACAGACTTGAGGTAATGTCTGGGAATTAATGTCTATCCTTGAGAAAATCTATTACAAATGTGACCTTTTGGAAAACATTTGATGTATGAAGTAGTTTCTGCTTTTATAGTGCTACAGAAATGCTTTTGAAGTGCCAGTTGTGCATCTTGAAGACCTTGATATTAGCATCGTGAATAAAAGTTTAATTTGATTGAGAAGGCTGACTGAAATTACATGTGGGTGGATTCGGCCGGCTATAAGGGGTGATGAGGAGGCCGGTTAAAATATTTGCGAGCTCAAACATCAATGAATGAACCCAAAAACACAATTGGGTTACACAACTGGTTGGAAATCACGAATTCTCTTCGGCTTATACATTTTCTCATGATGTTGATCAAAACAAAACTGCTGTATTGTGTCAAAATTGTATTAATCTTGAACACATGTACAAGTTAGGATTTATAGGATGATTTACTGAGGTTCTTTGTTTCCCGTTTAGAAAAATAGGGAAGGGGACTCTTGTACACGTATTTCGTATGCTACTGGCACAGTTTTCCAGTTCTTTCCCAAGAGTTCCTCGCATTTTGTCATTCAATATTTTGCTCTGAAAATATCAGTTGTCAGAGGCCTAGATAACCTTTTATCTAGGCGTAAAAATTTGAAAAAATTGGTACCTTACAGTATCAACATGAGTATGTTAAGAAAAAAATACATTTCTCGGCACTAGTACCTACATGTCGGTTTACTGTGTTGCATAATGCAAAATGTAGAGTACATGTACATATTCATGGAAGAAATCTTTTTTTATATAAATTCATTGGAAAGAATCCAAATACACTTATCTGCAACATAATTTAACCTATCATTTGTCATTCAAATGACATTTGTACATTTTGATATAGCATTGAATGACCTCAGATTTGTGTTCACAATTATGGAAATATCTGTTCGTTTTTAAAATTGCCAGACAAAATTAGGAGTACCAACGTTTTTCCCAGCTCTAAGATGTTGTCATGTACGAATTTTAAGGGTTAACATTTGATACATCAAGTTCCCGTCACCCCTCAAATGTTTCATAGTGCAACATCTGAAGAACGTGTACAGTTGAAATCTGCTCCATCAGCAGATTTATCTAGAGGTGCTCATAAGGAATCCTGATAACTGCTTTGGAAACAATTCAATTATGTTCTGTCATTTCAAATGGCATTCTGATGTTGGAATTGCCACTCATGCTCGGCTATTAGTATTGATTACATCAAAATGTGTGGCAAATTTTGAACATTGGAAGACAATGAGGATTGTAAAATTTTTGCAGTTCTGCAAAAGTACTTATATATTCCAATTGCTTTTTAGCACACTTGGTACATCAAGGTTTCTTGACTTCAAGGTTGCATAACACTTGTTAAGTATTCATTTATGCTTGCAGTATGCCATTTGCACATCACAAAAATCTTTATAAAATTGTGATGAAAATCTAAAGCTGGTTTATAAAATAAATCAGTAATTTGTCATTCAAGAGACATTTTTATTCATGCACGGGTATTTGATATTGAAATTCTCATTTGTGCTGAAGTTGGAAGATAAAATAAGGATTTTTAAGTTCCGTAAAAAATGTTCCAAAAGCAACTTGACAGATTTGATTTTATGGATTTTTCTTGTGATAGTAAAGACCACATCTTTCCCAGAAAATTTTTCTGATATTTTTTATAAGAATTCAACTTAAAATCTTGGAAAGAGCAAGAAGCTCTTCTTAGTACCGTTAGGCGTAATTAAAATTTTGAAATCTGTAATTGGCTACTGTCACTTGGCTCAAACTTGCACCAGAGTTTTAGTAACTGACAACCAAACCATTTAGGCACTAGAATAATCATTTAGGATGTGTGAAGATTCAGTTATGTATTCTTTGTCATGTGCGTGTTTTTCCAAGTACGCTTTTAGGCTGTTTCACGTTTTTATGAAGTAACATTATTGCACCGTCTTTAAAAGAGCCTTTGTTGCCCATTTCATAAAAATTTTCCCGAGGAATTTTTCTTGTACAGAACTGATTCTTAAAACCCAAAATAAAGTTTTTTTTTTAAAAATTGGGACTAATCAGTTAAGGCCGTGGAATAGTTTTCACAGTACATGTACATGCACTTTTAAAACTTACTTCTTTGATGATGTGTGTAAAAAAAAACAAACTGAATATTACAACTTGGATGAAAATGTAACGGAAGTCGTAAACATTTCAGTGATGTTCAAACTGAACATGACATTTTATAAATCTAGGTGCATGTATGACACACCTGGTAAATCCAATTGTTGGAAGTCGTGAATGTGAACACTAAAATACTGATCTACCTCTTTGTAATCTTGTTTCTTTACACGTTGCATTTTGGGAGTTTTTCCTGGTTTCTCCCACAGGGTTTTACAGGTTTTTTGACTCCCTGATGCAGCTATACGGTAAGAAACAGGACGAATACAAAACAAAAACTTGTAAGAATGAAGAAAACACAAAGAATAAAGAAATGAAATATGTATATTTCGTTATCAACTGTGTCCTCTATTAAAGTGTTTAGCTTTTTTTTTTCTTGTTAAATGCATTTAACGAGACTGTACATGTTCATGCAATTCCCCCCCCCCCAAAAAAAACACTGCAACTATCCATGTCCTGCCTGATATTGAAGAGCTATTCTGCGCGGAGTATTATGCCTGAAGGTTGAAATCGTTAACAGTGCAAATCCACCCCCACACACAAACTTTTTCAGTTTTCAGAAGAACTTGCACTCTGCGGCGGTTAATGGATGCCGTCCAGCTAATCAACACCCTGTAGTACATGTACATTTGTATAAGGACGAACGTGCAATCTACGATGTGTACACAAACGGGTTACATGTATTTCACACTCGCAAAGTGGTTACTATAATGAGTCCTGCTCACTAGGGAAACATGAATGGTTAGGGTTATGTGAGGATTGTTCAGTCTTGCTGTGAATAATGGGCAAACCACGGATGTTTAATAAATCTGGACTCGCAATGCCCTTGATCAGCTTATAGATGAATCCACTTGTGGCCATTATACCGAGCCGAATACAAAGCTTTCCTGGCAATGCCCGCCTTCAAGTTTGTTCTTCCTGACTTCACTAGAAGGGGGCCGACCCACACTTTTGTATCCGGCTCGGTAAAATGGCCGCTGGTTGGCTTCTTTTTCATACAAAGGCGTTGCAAGTCCAGGTTTGTTACATACTCCGTGGGGCAAACTAATATCTGTCTGTGCTGGTTCACCTTAAGATCATACTCCTGGGCGGAGAGATGTAGTGGGTTACAGTGACTTGATGTAACCCCTGACCCTACGTATACAGGTACTTTTTACATGTTGACTTACAAACGCCAGTCACGAGGCCATAGGCCTACATGCCTTTATTTTATTATGAATGTTGCAAACATAGGGTAATAAAGGGGTGGTGGGGTAATAAGTGGTCTCATTTACTAATGGGGGGGGGGGATTTACCAGAGTGTAATTCGGTTTCGAAGCAATCCAAAAGAAATTACCTTCTCCAAGCAGCCCAGTGCAGTGCTATCATCCTCCAATACCAGGCTAAGCTCAGTGTGTGTACAACTGCCGTGTACGCATGCAAAGTTCAACATAACTGAAAATATCTAAAGAGGCTATTCAAGTCAAGTCTGATTACAAGAACAACAGTGGGGAAGAATGATAGAATTACGTATGTCATTTTGGTAGAATCCACTGTGTAGCCAACAAGTGAACTCAAACCTATCCAACCCAGCCCTTCTCAGTTTCAGTGGCTTCTTTATGTCGAACTGTTTTTAAACACAGCGTAAGTTGATGAGGCAGGAGTTATTTCCAACCCTATATATGAACACAATTCCAGTGCATGCCTGCCTTAAGCAGGCAGATGCCCATAAATGGGCTCATAAATGATAAACATATTGCCAAATTCTGAATGGTGATGATGAGGAAATAAAAATAGTTGGCTCTTTCATATCAGTGGATGACCGGAAGAACAAATGTTTTCTGTGATGTCTTTTTGTGTGTCCTCACATGAAGCACCGCATATCATATGTAAGCTACTCAGCTGTAGTCCTATCCAGCTACCAGATTTATAAGTCATATGCAGGTACCACGCCAGAGCACAAATTGTGCGTACACATTAAAAATGCCCCTTAAGCCAAAAGGTGTCTTGATATGCAAGAATGCTATCCAAAATTGAGGGAACATGTACATGAATGTTGTGCCATCACCAGTATGGCATCTCCCTGAATCAGAAAATAACTTAAGCCATCATCTCTCTCTCTGACTAGTCCAAGTGGCGTAACTGGGGTACATTTTGCAGGGTGACGCTTGGGGGCCTTCACTCTCTGGAGGGGACATGCAATGGGTTTGGTCATACTTTAAACATGGCCGAGGCGGACTAACACCAAATGTTTTCCTTCTCTGATTTCTGAGCGAGGGGGGTTCATGCAGTGGGAGGGATCACAGCGTTGAGTAGGGTCCCCTTTGACCCCCCCCCAATTTACTTCACTCTTCCTGACCCAATTATTCACAAATTCTTCACAAACACGAACACTAGAGTATGTCCGTATATTCCATTGTTTTCATGATCCATATTTTATTCTGCCAATAAACAACAATTTTGACTTCTTTACCTTGAGCCAATCACTTAAATTTTGCTTAAATACTGTACATTTGTACTTCAATGCATGAATAAAACGTTACAAGCAACATTCTTTTATGAATACAGTAACAGCAGCAGCAGCACACTTGCAATTCAGCAAATTTAAGAAATTTAAGGTACAAAAACTGTAGCCAATTCAGCACCGAGAGGTACTTAATTCACTCGACTCGGACAAGGTCCTGAGGCAACACTTTGGCTTTAAATAGTTTCTCATGGCAAATATGTAGGCCTTTAAAATTCTTCTCACCAGCTGCTGGTGTCATGTAATGTCAGGAACAATAATGTTCACATACATTAAGTGTAAATATCATCTGGTTTAGTACTAAGCATTCTGTCAGCTTTCAAGGGACTGGCAGACAGTCAATTAAAACCTATCGAATTGTGAGCTAGAGCATAGTCCCAACTGTTCCAGTTCATTTCAATCATTAGTGGCCTTTATGCTCCAAGTAAAAAGATGTAATGCTGCACCTACAATTCTACCAAAAGTTATAATTTATTACCCCTTAATACACCATACTCCTTAACCCTCTGAAACCCTTCAAACTTACCACTAGAGTATACAAGCTTATGCCCTGCACTGGTCAACAAGTTTAAGTGGTTAGAATAACTCCACAAATACTCCAACAAGCATTTTATTTGTTGGGGGGGGGACTATAGATAAAATTTGTCCTACACAGCAAAGCCTAAACTTGTTTGGTCGACTTGGTATATAAAGAACACTTTTATAACAAAACACTGTTATAAAGACCAAATTCTGAGAATCCCAGTTTCTTGAATTTGTTTTTCTTTTATTTTCCAATCCTGTCAAAACAAAGCTCTGGTTGTAACAAAGCAAGTTGTCCGGTCCCTGTAACTTTGTTTTAACAAGACTTGACAGTACACAGGCATCAATATGATGAATTCTCCAATATTGGCATGTGGTTGGCACAGGAAATAAATCTGGCACGTGTGGTCTGTGCTTGCATGATTCATTCACAAATGGCAAGTAAATCTGTGCTTGCGAACGCAATGAACTGTAATTTAACATTGTGAAAAGTACATCTGAAACAGGATTGTGCACGTTATATTTGTGTTGAATGAGTATTGTAGACGACAGAAAAATAACTTGATGACTGGGGCTAGAAGATGAATGGCAATTTGTACGTCAACACTTGATAGTAGGGAAGTATAACTCTAAATGCTACATTTAAAGTTTCCTGTATTACTGAAAATTGCACATTGCTTCACTGCATTTCAGTTACTTTTATAACATTACAATCTTGCACCAAGAAAAGGAGAAGGTGCAGTGTATACCGGTATCTTCTGTGACATATTTCCTCCAATCAGATCACCCAACTGGATGGTTTATTATAAATGCTGCATAATCAGGCTGTACTCTTCCACATATTCACTCCCAAATTGGGTAACCAACTTAAGAGACTCTTCCTCACTGATCTGGTCACAAAAGACACTGACTTTTCATTTTTGTTTTTTCTGCCATATCAGCCTTCAATCAAGACAAGCAAATCCTCTCATTATACGGAAAATATCACTATCTCTAGGGTAAAGGTGGTAATGGTGAATGACACAACATTTGGACAAGTCCTACTTAGAAAAGTAATATGTCCATTAAATATACACCAAACGAGCGATGACTACAGTTCTCTACTGAGTACAATTAACAGACATTCCCACAAGACAGAATTCTGAGTGAAATAAGTTTGGCTTTCCAAGCTTAAACTCAAATGCTTAAATCACTGTCACTGTTACATGATCGCCATGTGATGACAATATCACCTTCCTGGAGGTCATGGTGGTGATGATGGTGATCATTGACCTCTATTGCTGATACAGGGATATCCACATCATGCTCCCCGTGATCCTGATCTACCATACTGGCTGCCGACTGCAACATGGCATTGTTGTAGACCATGTCCTCGGCAGCCGATGGCTGGTGGCTGACGGTAAATTGGCCCGGGTCGGACATCATGCCCAGGGCGTGGTCGTGGGTGGGGTCATGGGTGTGGTTTGGCTCTGCGAGGACCACTACATTGCCAGGGTTGGAACGGGTACACTGCTGGCCGGAATCGCCTTTGCAGCTGCTGTCCTGATCCAAGTCTGTTGTGACTGGAAACCAAGCGAAAATTGTTTTTAAAAATATCAGGGGCACTCATTATATCTTGACATGGAAGTCACAGGCTTTTGGTGACAGCTTGACAGGGTGTTCTACATATGTCCCATTCATCAGAAAAAAGTTTAATATTCAACGTGCAAAATACATGATTACTTCTTTCCTCACAATGTGCACAAAAGCACTTCAGTATCACTGTCGGTATATATAATTGGACATCATGCTATGGGTTGATAGCACAACTGTGTACCGGTTATCATCCTTGTGTTGCAACAGAATAGCTATCAATTAGTAACCATGGTATCACTGAGTTAGAATCATGCTATCACAAGTCCACATGGTTTCATCACTCTGCCAGTCTAATCTTTACCTTCTAGAATTGAATGAGACAGGGTCATGCTGCCATGGGTCAGCATGGACATGTCATTATCTTGGTCCTCAGTCTGTATGGAGTGACCTGTCCCTTGGGCTTGTTGATGGTTGGTCAAGGTTACACCTGCCAAGAACAATGAATGCAGTAAATTCATGAAATCATAAACAAATGAAAAATTCGTGAAAAAGTTTGTTGGTTGATTTGACCACAAGAAATTTTGGGGTACCTGCAAGGCTTCAGGGTCAGAAGTTCCAGACCCTTAAGCCCCCCCAAAATAACTTGTCTCTGGTCTGACTGATGTTCCGGAATCGATGCCGGCGACACAGCTTTTTTTTCCCCCTCCTCCAGGTTTGGATTGTACAGACATTTGCAGACACACATTGTCGAGTCATGGGACTAGACCAGCAACAAACAAACAACAACAAACAACTTCGTATCCATGGTTTGCTATCATTGTTCAACACTGATCTCATCAGGGTTCTACCACCCTGAGTAAAAGATCGAGCTGCCCACAAAACTGTTGAGGCAGTGTGGCAATAGAGGGCGCTGTTGCAGCTCTCGCAGAGAAAAAAGAAATTGACAGGCATGCTTGAAATGGACGCGCGCTGACCAGAGACGAAAGACTTTTGGGGAGGGGCCCAACCCCAAGTACTGCACATTTTTCTGGGCTGCTTGCTACATGCGACAAATATGACACAGCTGAGACGGTAACGCTGCTAAACCCAAAACAAGCAACAACAAAATGCAACTGGGGTTTCCCTAAACTGTGCAGTGTGCTGGACACACACCGGCCTTGTATGATGCAGTCACACCATGCATTCTGCTACCATAAAGCCATGAGCATTGCCAAGGTTTTGTCCACACCTGGGGGGGGGCACTCATTAGCAGTAAACTGACAAACCAGTAATAATGAAAGGGTCAATACCAAGGTATTTTCAAGCAACCTTGTTAATTAACTTGTATTTACTCCTTTTTTCCCCAAGTCTTTAACTTTTTCTTTTTTTCCCTTTTTATTTCCCTTTTTTGGGGGAGGGGGTGGGTAGCAAGCACCCTCCCCTTGCCCCCTTTTGCAATACCCAGGCATACAACAGCTTTTAACTGCCATTTCATTCTGTTGTGCATGCAGCAGATTCACACAAGGGGTTGTAGTTTTTGTGTTTTGTTTCAAAGATGAATGATCAAAAAGGATGTAATTTTAAAACCTCTTGTTTCAAAAACCACCATCTAGTCCATCCTCCATTTTGAATTCCAAAACTCTTTTTTTTGGAATCAACCTACCTCCAAGCATGGAATGAGCCAATGAGATTCCGTCATGCTCTGCCATTGAGGTGTGAGAGGATATATTCATGTCTGTATCGGCCACTCCCACCGTGGTCATGGTCTGTAGGGATGAGTTGACGTGCTCCGGGTTTGGCAAGGTTATTTCTGGCAAACAAGGGATGGAAAAAAAAAACAGCATATACATTGGGGTGATATACTGAGCAATCAACTGCCCATACAGAGCTGTGAGGTCAGGAGCTGCACACATCTCTACGACAGACATACAAAGTTTCCACAACTCAGCTGATTCCCTTTATATTCTGGAATTTTTCAATACATACCATGACCAATTGGAAAACACCATAAAACAGCTTTTTGGTTAGGAATTCCATCACCTTTTTGAATTCCCAGCTGTACACCGGCTGAGATGAGCATGTCAAATCCCAAAAATCTAATTTTTAAAATCTTACCTCTGCTTTAGACTTTTTGGAAAATACTTTTCATTTGACAGTATTTGTAAGGACCTGAAATTTCAGTCAATTCAGAATTTCTCAATGCTGAGATTTGTACACATTCAACCTGCTTTGATGAAATTCATTTTCTGTTGATACTCCACGTTTCAATTGTCGAGAAATGATTGTTAACAGGCACTCCTGAGGTGAAAAAAACACATTTATAACAGTGATTCTTGTCACACCCAAATTCCATGAACTTTGCACCCAACATTTGGCTCACAAAATGGACAATTTTCTATCTAACTTCTCTTCCTGCACAGAACACAGTTAGAGATGCCAACTTTTCAAAATGAAACAGTGTAATTCTACCGCACTTCCAGTTCCCCGACAGACCCCAATTTTTTGGCGCGACCCAAAAGATTTTTATCAGCAAATTAGAAAATAAATTTTTGAAGGTTTAAAAAAAATCCTGTTGTCCTTTCTTTCAAAACAAACACCTGTCAACAAATTGTTTTCATGTCAAAACACTTGTATTTACCTGACTGGCATTGTGCAAGTGTGAATTGTATTTAATTGTTAATTAGATTTCCACATTAATTCTGGTAAGGTTTTATTTTAATCACTTTTGTGGCAAGGTTTTATTTTAATCACTTTTGTGGCAATTTTTGGTAACTTTCATCCCATTCAATCAGCACAAAAAAATTGTCGAAATCCTTACCTACCTACCCCATTGATCGGAAGCAGAGCTGCTTTTCTTGGCCTAACTAATGTGCTTCTAGGTGTTATAAGATCCAGTGTGGGCTATATTTATCATGTCACAGTTACATGGATTGCAAAACACGTAAGCTTCTCCACGACAAGACTTCGCAATAAACGCCCATTTTTGTAAAGTATTCGTCCCTGAACTTCTGCTCACTTGTTGCCACAGTGCAAACAAGTCCACACCACCAAATATCCAAGAATCAAATCCTCAACAGTCCTCCACTCCGATCCATTCAACTTAAGCATAATCATGATCTTCGACACACGTACGTGTGTACGATCTTGGTACATGTACCAAGCATTGACGTACACAATCACGTTGCATATAAGTGCAATCGTGCCTATTCGCCCCCTATTCATCATAGCGTTAATTGGGGCAAACGGATGATTCAACTGCGCTGGTTTCTACCGCTACCCACACAGCTTGTATGCACAATGTGCGGGATGCCAGTGACACATTTCTGACGCGCACATTATGAGGCCGGCTCCGTGCTAGCTTACGTAGAGTTTATACACAACTGTATGGTTTTGTTCCTTCGAGTTGGAAATCGTAAAAATCTTAGTCTGGATCATAGAGTCATAAACGGATTACACAAATTGTGAACATTACACCTAAATCGTATGAGTTGGCATCTCTGCACAGTGGATCATGCAAGAGTAGAATCTTGATTGACTCATGTGTAAGATGACTTGCGACTGACTCACAAGTATGATGACTTGTGACTGACTTACATGTATCATGACTTGTAATGTATTGTTATTGGCTCACAGGTGTGATGAATCGTGATTGACTCACAGGTATCATGACTTGAGAAAAATCATGATTGACTCACAAGTATGACGGCTTGAGACCGACTTACAGGTATGATAATGTGTGATGAATCGTGACTGACTCACAGGTCTGATGACTTGTGACTGACTCACAGATATGACTTGTGAGGACTCATGTTGACTACCAGGTAAGATAACATGCAATGAATCCTGATTGACACACAGGTACCACGAATTGTGACTGACTCACAGGTATGATGACTTGTGACTGACTTCATGACGACTTGTGATGACTTGAGAGCTTGTGACAACTGCAAGATTTGTGATTGAGGTATGATGACTGGAAGATTTGTAATGAGTTCTGTTGACTTGATGACCTGTGACAACTTGTGATTGACTTGTGACTGACTTGTGATGACTTTAAGATCTTTGACAGTGTTGACTGCATGACTTGGAACAACTTGTGACTGACTTGGGATTGACTTGTGACTGACTTGTGATGACTTGAAGATTTGTGATAACCTGAATGCAACCCCTCTGGATGCCTCTGGATGGGTCAACTCAACGACACCACCAATCCCTTGTCTACGCTCTTACCTGCAAGACCTATCTCATGTTGATTTGCGCTCTGACCATCTGTCAGCACGCCGTGGTTGCCTAATGTTCCCCCCTGCTCCTGCCTCTCAGTACGCTCTTCCTCCTCTTCCTCCTTGGTCCTCCCCAGCACCTTGGCATTTCTGCCGCTTGCTGCGGCCTGCATCTTGGAGAGGCTGTGATGCTTCCTCTTGTGAGTGTTCCGACTCCCGCTCTGTGAGAAGACCTTGAAGCAGATTTCGCATTCATATGGTTTGGCTCCTTGGTGACAACAATGGTAAAAAAAAAGAGGAAGAAAGAGAATATATGCCTGGAGAAGTTAACAAGAGCAAAAGCATTCCTTGTTTTAACCACTTGCTGCCGGGAGGATTTTTCTTGAGTAAGACAAGATGCCGGCTCATTTTCAAGATTTTCCGTTTTTAAAATTCTTCAAAAATTCATCATTTCATTTAATGGCCGTTTATACCAAAATGAAGGACTCTTTGGGACTATTCTAACGCTGACAGGTAAACTTCATTGACTCCCGAATATTTC